TTTGTGCTGATTGCAAAGTATAATACTTGAAACATATCTGCAAGAAGACCTTGCTAATTATCTGTAGTGATGAAAATGTCAGGAATATTCTCTTTAACATACAGTACAGTTTACTAACACTTTTATTGAACAATGTGGGATTTTAGCTCCTAGATGTCTTAAAATATTCTATGTGTTAAACTGACCTTTGACATGATCTTTATTCAGTTTTATTTTGGTTTATTTAATTCATTATTTGATTTTGTTTTGGCCCATAACCTCTTTGGAATTATAGTGTATATGTTTATCATTCCTATTCATCATGGACTATTAAATGGAAGTAATTGATTTCTTTAGTAAACACTGAATCATCCAGGCTGTCAATAATAAGTAGACAGTCTTATTACAAAAGAAAAAGTTGAATAAAGACGACCTTGTGTTTGTGTATCAATTGCTAAGTGTCCTTAGTAACTTCATGAATTTCGTTTACTTTGTATTCATCTTAATATTTTGTGTATTTGAGAGATCTTATAAATTTTTTTATACAGGTCAAGTACTTTTATACCTTTTCCATCCTGTGTATTTTAATCTTTGCTCTTTGACATGAAAGTGAAAACTCATGAACTTTTAACACTTAAAACACACCCACAAAAAGTATATTGTATATGTGAGGGGTATGTTATATCTGTGCCTTTGTATGTCTTGGTCTTTTGGTTATGTATAAATCAGTTTATTTAAATAAATATAACCTTTCTCATAATTTTACAACCTGTGTAATTTGTCATAGAACAGCAAAATGTTACATGGGCAAATGCTTGATAAATATATATATTTTTAGCCTGGTATTTCAAAGAGAATGCAAGTATTCTATATTTTTTTTCAGTGACATAGACCTACGAGTAAACACTCTTTTCATGGTTTGCCCAGTAATGTGTTTGCTAGAAACCTTGACAGCATTCCATAATTATTCCTTTTTTACACTGCAGGTTTTTGTTTCCTACAATTAAGATGATAGATGTATGCAGTGCTTAGAGTGAACAAGAAGCAATAACTCTTTTCAATTACGGTGTTTATTATTCATATGAATTATTCTTTTGTAAGAATGATAATGATGGTAATGACAATAGTAATAATAAAAGTAATGCTGATAAAATTACCATTATTACAGTGGTATTATTACAGTGTTGACAATGATGGTCTCTCATTATTTTTCTTTATTATTCTTTTCATTATTACTATTGCAGTGACTGTTATTATGAAGTTAGCATCATAATAGAATTAGCTAATATGATTTTTATTAAATTCTTATTTTGATAATTATAAGTGTATTTTATGATGTCTGTAACTGTTTCATTTTATTATGGAAGTTTTTAATGTTTTTATTTTTATAAGTATATAGCTCCACTTGCATTATAATATGATAAAATTCCATTGATGATTCAAGGCTACTAGTAATACTTGTTAGTCTTGAATCCCTTATATATATAAATATAGATATATTTCTGTTTAATTTTTCAACAGCGTGTAAAATGGCAATATAGTTATCTGTGAACGATTCTTGGCTTCAGTATGATAAAGTAGTATTATGTACCCTTTCATAATATGTCCACTGGCTGAGAGAGTAAGATAAACTGATATGGTAATTGTTGGTGTTTTGATTTAAGAGGAGAAATGTAAATGGCCGATCATATTAAAATGATTAATTTTGTCTGCTTGATTGGTGCTCATGTGTGACAATAAGTGTGGGTTTTGTTTGAACTGCTCTATTGGTAATGCTTGCTATAGATCTGAGGGATTGGTATGGTTTCATGAAAGGTATTTTTATGTACCAAAACACATTTTTTTCTTTTAGTTGCCAGATTCTATCAGTATTGGTTGTACTACAAAGACTATGTTAGCCTGTGCAAGTGTTTATTTATGGGACCCAGACATCTGTGCATTGAACATTGTATATTGTTTTATTGCCAAACATTTTTAATTTCTCACATTCGATATAGATACCCTGTATTATTACTATTGCATAGAAAATTCTTGAAAAAGAAGTTAGTGCATGGTTCCATAAACATTTATGTATTTTTAAGCAAAGGATGAAGTATCTAACTCTTTTTA